CCCACTAAGACAAGAACAAGACAAGGATGCCTTTTGTCACTGCTTCTATCCAATATCCAATATTGTACATAGATGCAAATTTTCTAAATGCAATTTTAACAAATTAAAAGGGAAATTACATTATGACCAAGCAGGATTCATTCCAAAAATGAGAGTTTTAACATTTAAAAGTCAATCAGCGTAATGCATCATAATGTCAAACTAAAAAAAGATATATATTTTTTAAAAGGATAAAAGGAATCCAGATTGAGAAGAAAAAAAAACTGTCTTTATTAGTTTATTGTCTCTGTAGAAATTTCATTGAAATAAAGATAAAAAGCTATCAAAATAAGTGAGTTTGGCAACATTATAAGGCACAAGATCATTATATAAAAATGAATTGAATTTCTACATACTAATAATAAACAATTTGGAATTTAAATTTTAAAATGCCACTTATAATACCATGAATCCCATTAGGGAGATAGATAAACCAATAGTAGAATGGGCAAAATATAAGAAGGAATAATGATAGATAAGGAAATGCAAAGACATCTTTATTTTATGAAAATGCGTTCATCATTTTCACTGCTACTAAACGAAATTCAAATGACAATTCAAAATACGCTGAGTCAGTGACACAGATTTTTAAAAATTGTATGAACAAGATAATAATCCCCAAGGGCTGACCCCCAGTGACATGCTTCCTCCAGCCACACTCTGCCTGTCAACAGTTACCACGTAGTAATTCATACAAATTTATTAATACATCAAATGGGTAGGTCCACTGATCAGGTTACAACTTTCATAATCTGATCATTTCATCTTTGGACATTCCTGTATTGTCTATCAAATGAGTTTATTGGGGAGACCTCACATCCAATCTGTAATATTGACTATAATCATGGATTCGTCCATTTCTTTTCACAGTTCTAACAATTTTTACTTCATATATATTGAGGCTTTCTTATTATTAGGTTCATAAATGTTTGAATTATTTTCTATTTTTTTAAGAGAGAGTGAGAGAGAGAGAGGGAGAAAGAGAATTTTAATATTTATTTATTTATTTTTTAGTTTTTAGTGGACACAACATCTTTGTTTGTATGTGGTGCTGAGGATCGAACCTGGGCCGCACACATGCCAGGCGAGTGCCGTTTGAGCCACATCCCCAGCCCTGAATTATTTTCTCTTAATATATGATCCCTTCTTTTATTATTATAAAATGACCTTCTTTATACCTTTTTCTTTACTCTGAAATTTATTTAGTTGATTTTGAAGACGCTAATCTAGTTTCTTTTGTTGTCGTTGTTTTTGTTTATTTGTTTTTTGGGGACCAGGGATTGAACTTAGAGGCACTCAACCACTGAGCCACATCCTCAGCCCTATTTTGTATTTTATTTAAAGACAGTGTTTCTCTGAGTTGCTTAGTACCTCACTTTTGCTGAGGCTGGCTTTGAACTTGCCATCCACTTGCCTCAGCTCCTGAGCTATGTTTGTTTGTTTTTGATGCTAGAGATTGAACTCAGGGCCTTGCAGATGCTAAACATGTACCCTACCATTTAGTTTCATCTTCTAGTGTTAACATGGTATATATTTTCCCATTCTTTTACTTTAATCTTATTTGATATATAATCTTAATATTTGAAGTATAATTTTGTAAAAAGAATATAGTGGTGTTTTGCTTTTTTTTAAAACTCCAATATAATATTCTCTACCTTTTAATTTGGGGAGCTTATATCCTTTTAGATTAATGTAATTAGTGATATGGTTAGGTTTGAGTACATCATCTTGCTATTTGTCCTACCTACTATTTGTTCTCTGTTATTTTATCCTGGGAACTCTGTCTTGGTCTTTTGGAATCTAGGATTTGTCTCCTCAATCCAGGGAGCCTTTGAGCCTCTGCCTCAGTTTTTTCTCTCTCTGCTGCAGTTTGGAAACTCCCTCAAGGTAGTAAGCTGGAAAATTGTACTTAACCTTGTTTGCTTCCTGTCTCTCCAAGATCACCACCATCCTTTGTTACCTGATATCAAACGTCTTGTAAACTGATCTACATTGTGTGTGTGTGTGTGTGTGTGTGTGTGTGTGTGTTTGTGAGATGTGGTGTGTGTTTAAAGATGCCTTAGTGTGGTATGTGTGGTATGGTAAGTGTGGTTTCTGTTACTTAATCATAACCAGTAGGGGATGTCCATTTACTGTTTTTTTCCAACTTTTGAGATTTGGTCTTTTTTTCTCCTTTTCAATTTTTTTCTTTTGAAAAATTTCATTCCTTAGAAAAGTTGCAAAAATTACTCAATGAACAAACTATACATTTTAGCTCCACCAATTGTTAACATTTTCCTACATTTGTCCTTTCTATTTCTTTCATATTAATTAAAACATCAAGACACTTCATCATTAAATAACTGCTAAGAAAAAGACATTCTCTCATACAATCACAATACAATGATCAAATTTAAGACATTTAATGTGGCTAGACTATTATTATCTAATATGTGATGTGTTTTGATTAACTATTACAGTATATCAAATGACTGCCATACTTAGAGTCTTAAAATAATTTATTATTCTTGAATCTCTTGATTCTGTGGTCAGGATTCAGGTATGGCAGAGCAGGGGAGGCTCTTCTCTATACTCCATGATATCTGGAACTTCTGCTAGAATGACCCTTAGTGGGCGATTATTGAAATAGTTGGGAAGTGGCTGGGCATCTTCTTTTCTTTTTCACCTAGGTTCTCCACATGGCTAACATGGACTTTCTACTACTATATGGTAGTCTCAGAGTAGTCAGATGTTTACCTGGTGGTTCAGGTTTGGAAGCATGAATGCTTCTAGAGGTCACTGATAATGCAAACTGGCATCACACATGTTCTGAGGATATAACACCTTTTTTATCATAGTTAAATACATAACGGGAATTTAATTGTGAGAATAAGACAAGTCCAAATGGAACATTCTATGAAACAATCGGTCTGTAGTCTTAAAAAAACATCAGTGTCATGAAAGCCAAGAAAAGATGACAAACTGTTTCCGATTAAAGGAGACTACTTGAATGTTAGCGCTGTCATAATAAAATACCAAAATGACTTAAACATTTTCTGGCAATTCTGGAGGCTGGAAGTACAAGTTGAAGATGTCCAACAGCTTTGGTTTCTTCTAAGGCAACCTTGGCTTGTAGGCAGCCACCTTCTTGCTGTGCCCTCATATGGTCTTCCTCTGTCAGTGTTGTCTGTGTCCTAATCTTCTTATAAAGTCACCAGTCATATTGGAATAGGTCCCACATTGATGACTCTATTTATATTTTCTTACCTCTTTCAATGTCTTATCTCAAATATAGACACATCTGAGGTACTGGGGGTTATGACTTTGACCTATGAATTGGGGATGAGAGGGTACACTTTCACCCACGACAGAGACTTCTTTATGTGTGCTGTTGGATTGAGAAAAAGATGCTGTAATGATATTATGGAGAAAATTAGAAATAAATATCTGTAGCATAGATTCAGAACAACATCAAATACTTCTCCCTGAGCTATTAGGAGTATGTTTCCCTCTTCTTAAATCTGGCCTAGCCTGTGGCTGCTGGGACAAATGGAATAATGGGAAGGAAACTGTATTATTTCTAAGTCCAGTCTTTTTTTTTTTGGTTTATGGGAACAGGACCCAGGAGTGCTTTACCACTGAGTTACATCTTGGGTCCTTTTTATTTTTCATTTCGAGACAAGGTCTTGCTGAGCTGCTGAGGCTTGCCTTGAACTTGTGATCTTCCTACCTCAGTCACC